CAGACGTGTGAGGAAGGTATCAGAATGCAACTGTTGTACGTATATTTTTTTGTGCAATCATTGCAATGCGTCTTAATGATTACCTTACTATTCGCTGATATAATATTGAACGAAATGAAGAGGCATTTTGGCGTTTGACATTGCAGTTTACGAATGTTTTATTAGATATAGTTGAGCGATTTGATCGATGGTTTCACTGGAAAATAAAGTAAGTCATCTGTTTTGGCTTAACTATATTGAAGCTGTATTTGACTCAAGCATTGCCCAAGATTCTGACTTATCAGAATGCTCAGCACCAAAAACAAGCAACGCCAAAGCAGTCAGTCGGCGTGAAAGCATCGACACCGAAGCGTAAGCGTCGTATCAATCCACCAGTGAATAACTGATCTTCTCAGGTAGTGCTGACACCTACGAGAATGTTGTTGGTTGTGCCTGAATTGTTGATGGGAAATCGTGTGCTGCGAAAATTCGATGGGACTGGTGATAAGGCGTTGCGAATTCAGTTCAGGGACGATAACGGTGAGGCACTGAAACTCAACCAAGTGGGCCAGACCATCATTAATGTGACCGTTCATAACACCATGAGAAGAGGCATCTATATCTCCGGTTCGTTATCAGTATTCATATTGAAATTATTTGTATTGTTTTGTATTGATAGTGTTATTATTGTTATTATTATCATCATTATTGTTATTATTACTATTTTGTCGATTATTGTTGGAGCTGTTTTTATTGTCGTCTTTATAAATCTTTAAAAAAATTATGAGGCAATCGAATTAGATTCCAAAAGAAACTTCCAATAGCATGAATCTCTTGTCAGATATTATGTACTGAGAATTTGAGTGTGGTGAGATGTGACTATTTGATCTGATGTTTTACCGTAATGCAGATCGACATTTCATCTATTTGGCGTCATCAAACTCGCAAATGCGCGATAGCGGATGTTACTTTTTTGATGAAGGCGAAGATGGAAAACAAGTGGAGGAAATTCGTAACCAGCTAGGTATTTTTAACAAATCGAACATACCGAAACTGATGGCACGAATCGGACAATGCTTCACACAAGCGAAGGTTTGTAAAAAAAGACAAAACAGATCTGAAGCTTCTGCAAAATTCGGCATGATAGGTGCTTTGTGGTAAACTTTTGAAGTGTGTGCATAATCATCGATCTGTATGGTGCCCGGACAATCTGCCTAAGGACAGTTTGCCTATTAGGCAAAATATCCATTGAAAAATTGTCCGTTAGACGAATTGTCCGTTAGGCAAACTGTCCCTTAGGCAATGTGTCTGTAGGCAAATTGTCCATAGGCAAAACGTCTTGAGACAGATTGTCCGATCACGGATCTGTATGATGGAGATTTCTGAGAAGTAAGCAAATTGAAGGAGTCTAAAGTGGAGTTGCGCCATAAGCATTACAATCAAACGTTCGATGTAATCGGTGGTCGTGATACGAGCGGTGAGCCGTACACGTTTTCGGATGGTTGTGGACGAATATCGGTGAAGTATGCAGAGGATATCGCCTCGGATTTGGACCTCGGCAACTGTGTACCGAGTTGTTTTCAGGTTCACAGTTCAACGCATGATTTGTTTTCGTGTTTTCGAAGAGAATTACGAGCAAACTTTTTTTTTCTGAATGATAGTTTAATATTTGATAATAGTTGATATTTTTGTATCGATATGCAACTATGACGAAAGGCACACAGCTGAATGGGGATTGATTGTAGCAAACGGTAGATATTAAGCGATATTCTGTAGTCTGCTGATTCGTTTTGTAATCAAAGGGCAATTGAAAAGTATCGAAATGATGATGAGTTTGTTGGAGGTGAATGTAAATCAATGATATATATATCTCGTAAAAATTTTTGATAGAATTATCGAATTCATGAATTTCTTCGGAATCAAACAGAAAATGAAGAAAACGATTGACTACCTTATATTTTGGAGATGATAAGAATGCTCAGTTGCAGATTCGATTCCGTGGCATCAAAGGTGTTGTATCGGTGGATCCTTGGCTATCCGACCGAACTGAGTGGTCTGAAAAATACTCGGTTCCGGATAATAGGGAGAAATATAAAAGGAAGAATAAACTGCGCGTTCACTTCAGACCATCTCAGGTTGTATTCCTATTCGTTCGATTTGCTTCCTTCTTTCGTCTCATTTGAACTGCATTTTTTGGGGGAATTGAGTTATTTGATTTGTATTTCATTAACTTATTCGTTCACTAAACGTATAATTTGCACAAAAGTGTCACTTCATGATCACACCAATTATAATCGCTATCACAGCGATTTCGTGGTCCACTTTTAACAGATATACGATCGTGCATATGGTGATGCGGTTGTTGTGATCCGCACTTGCATGATAATACTCGTGCGAGTGTCGCGGTGAATTTAGTTATCGCACTTCATAAAGTTGATGATTGAATGAATTCGATTCGTTCGTTCGTTCATAAGTGATATTATTCAGAAGCAATTGCAAATACACTTTAAGAAATGTAAAATTTCTTCAGTTGTTGTAAATTTTCGCAGTTTTTTCCTTTCCTGCGATAGTGAAAGAACTACATTTTAGGAGTTTCATTTTAGAATAAATTTCATGGATCAGTAGAGATGTACATCGAAATAGTCAAGTATTCAAGCCCAACCGGAGTATGCTTGAATCGACCGTTCATCGCCATTCTTGATCAGGTTTGATTTCTTCATGCGTTTTGAGGAAGCTTCTTGAGTATTCAAAATATTAGTTAGAGTACTAATAATAATAATAAAAATAATAGATAAAAGTGATTCTGGACGTAAGGAAGATAATTTAACATAATGATGTAAATTGTTTTCGTCAAAGTACGTTATTGTGAACAAATAACAGGTGAGTGCTATGCAAGGTTATAAATTACACTGTCGAATGACCGATCGCATTTGTGAGTTGTTGGATAGGCAGTTAATGGAATTGGCCGAGGCACTGATGCTCGAGAATAGGTATGTTAACATTGTTCTTATGAAACTGTTATTGTTCTCGTGACCGTGTTATTATTACTTTTTGAAGGTTTCATTATTATTGTTATTATTATTATCATTATTATTATTATTA